GCATTAGCCCCCGGCCCGTCATCCCCCTTGACAATGAACGGTGTGCCTATTCAGAAAGGTGATAGCCACTGTCATCTCGGCGTGACTATCACTCCTTCACTAAATTTTTCTGACCATATAAAATCTATCACCCATAAGTTTCGCAGTCGTGTTTTTCTGTTGCGCCATATGGCCCATTTCCTTTCTGCTTCAACCGTGAATTTGCTCTACAAGTGTTACGTACGACCACTGTTAGAATACGCAGTCCCTGTCTGGTCACTCGCCGTATCCCATTCAGATTCGCTTACGTTAGACCGACTGCAAGCCGTTGCTGCTCGTTCATATCTGCTTTGTAAGACCCGGCACCCTCCTGAGTGGGAAACCCCGAAGCAGATTCTTAATCGTACTTGTGACTGGTCATCCCTGAAGTGGCGTCGTCAGATTCTGTCCTTGCTGTATTTTCATCATGTCTTTTACAAGTTTCCGTCTTTGCTAATTCGTTTCAAATTCAATGTATCCCTTAGTTGTCGTCACCCGTCCTCTATAGTTTTACCTCGTTCTGGCGCCCATTTCCTTAAATCCCCTCTCTTCAGTTTATCTGTGGAATGGAACAAACTTCCAGAACACATCCGCTGCGTTCAGTCCTCTGTCAATTTTCGCATTGCTCTAAAGGCTCATTACTCTCAGCATAGATATTCTCTGACTGGAATTCCGAACTTTTCCGTTTGAGAAATTTTTTTTCCTTGAAATTAATCCTTGCTGGGTTTTTTTCATCTATATGTCCCGCTATTATCTGCAGAGGTGATTTCTTCCCTCGTCGATTTCTTTCCTGCTTTTATACCTCGATATTTAGGTACTTGTTTCCCTTCTTCCCATGCTTCATCTTCCACTCTCCTCTCCCCATTTCCCCATTTTTCTTGCGATATTTATGTGGGAGACTTCCGTGATAAGCATCCATTTGCTTTTGGAGAATCCTTTTAAATAAATACAATACAATACAATAATGTGAAGCAACTTGGAAGAATTAGTATGTATGCGAAGTGTATCGGGGGATGCATGCAGGGCGCGATAGTGCGGGTTCGAATCCCAGGTTATGTCTTAAAAAAAAAGGAATTTTTTAAAGAATTTATAACATCCCTATGCTTTTTTTTGTCTAGGTCATCAAGGCAAAAAAGCATAGCGTAGGGCCCTGAGCTTCCAAGCTCTTTCGTTTCATGAGAAATGTATTTTTATCCCTGTGATAATTATGTGAACTCCACGACACTCTTCCTCTACTCGGCTCTAGTATGATGTCAAATGCAATGGGATCCACAAACGCAGTGCCAGTGTACTAGTAGTAGTAGTAGGAGGATTTCTTGTATGCCGATGACAAGAAAAAGCTTCTCAAGCTAATACATGTACTCGTATTCCATGAAGTAACCGTTTTGATGTCACAAACATGACATTGTGTCAGTGAAACTGCCTCGTGACAACAAATCATTGCATTTACATCTTGGGGAAGACTGACTGACGGCAACGCTGTACAGATTGTTCAAATCATCTCATTTCAATTTAGTTACAGTGAAGTGAAACACTGTGTACACTACATGTATGGTGGTGTGTCTGTGCGTCTTGAGTGTGCACAAACGATCTTATTCCTCGTATTACTAATAGATTATTGTCCCCACCGTCACCTGTTCACAGGTCTTTGAGTGGATGGATTTTCATTGAGCATCACATTCATTGAGAACTTGGTAGTTGTGTGCTCCCATGCATCATTACGGTAATAAGCGTATCCTTGTGCTATCAATTTGTTGCAGGTGTGCTGATCTTCAGAAGCTTGCGGAACTGAGTGCTGCTGAACATTTGCATGGCCATGAGCAATGGTGAAGCTTGCTATTGCACTCTCAGCATGTGCTAGTATTATGCTGACTACTGCACTATGTTACTCTCTTACATTACTACATGTATGTAAACGTGCGTGCAACCGCCCACGTATGCATTCGTTTCGTATAATAATTTGTTATTCCTCTTGACTTTACGTGTAAATTGGTGGACGTTTGCATGGCTGTTGGCGTTGCGTGTGTATTGTGTCTCTACTCTTTTCTTGGTGTTTTCTTGGCGTTGTATAAGTTTGTGTGTGTGTGCGCGCGCACAATAATTTAAAACAAATAATTAATCCTTGGCTCTCCATTATTCTCTTTCAATTCTTGGTCTTTTTTCTAGGTATTTTCTTGGCGTTGTGTGGGTGTGTGCATGTGTGTGTGTGCGTGCACAATACTTTGGCAACACTACATGATTGAGATATTGTAATTTGCAGCGTCTGCGAAGAGACCACTTGATTTGAGGATGGTGTTTGTAGGGTTTTTCATGTAATAAAGTGGCGCAGTGGCGCCTCAATACTTATTTTTTATCTTGAGAAGTGAATGATGTAAAGGATTAAAGGGAGAGGCTGTTTTCTGGTTAATATTCACTGCTTACAGCAGATCCTATGTCTAATTTCAAACTCTGGATAGGGGATGCCTAATTGGCTGGACTTTATACAGGGAGTGTTGTCCACATAAAGACTCTTTATAGTTGATTTCAAAGTTTGGACTCCGTACAGTTGATTTTGGACCAATGTACTCTATATAGGGGTGAAGCCAATTGGCTGGACTCTATACAGGGAGTGATGTCCATCTAAACTTTGAGATCACAGTTGATTCCAAGTTTGGACTCTGTACAGTGGATTTTGGACCAATGGACTCTACATAGGGGTTGGACATCATATAGGGGCTGGACGCTCTACTGAGTCCAACATATACAGTGGGAACAAGTGCAGTGCGAACATATACAGTGCGAACAAGTACAGTTCGAACAAGTACAGCGCAAACAGGTACGGCGCGAACAAGTACAGCGCAAACAAGTACAGCGCGAACAAGTACAGCGCGAACAAGTACAGTGCGAACAAGTACAGCGCAAACAAGAACAGCGCAAACAAGTACAGCGCAAACAAGAACAGCGCGCACAAGTACAGCGCCAACAAGTACAGCGCCAAAAAGTACAGTGCGAACAAGTACAGTGCGAACAAGTACAGCGCCAACAAGTACAGTGCGAACAAGTACAGCGCAAACAAGTACAGCGTGAACAAGTACAGCGCGAACAAGTACAGCGCGAACAAGTACAGCGCAAACAAGAACAGCGCGCACAAGTACAGTGCGAACAAGTACGGTGCGAACAAGTACAGCGCAAACAAGTACAGCGCCAACAAGTACAGCGCCAACAAGTACAGCGCCAACAAGTACAGCGCCAACAAGTACAGCGCAAACAATTACAGTGCGAACAAGTACAGCGCAAACAAGTACAGCGCAAACAAGAACAGCGCGCACAAGAACAGCGCCAACAAGTACAGCGCCAAAAAGTACAGTGCGAACAAGTACAGTGCAAACATATACAGTGCGAACATATACAGTGCGAACAAGTACAGCGCAAACAAGTACAGTGCAAACAAGTACAGCGCAAACAAGTACAGCGCCAACAAGTACAGCGCCAACAAGTACAGCGCCAACAAGTACAGCGCCAACAAGTACAGCGCGAAGAAGTACAGCGCCAACAAGTACAGCGCCAACAAGTACAGCGCGAACAAGTACAGCGCAAACAAGAACAGCGCAAACAAGTACAGCGCAAACAAGTACAGCGCAAACAAGTACAGCGCAAACAAGTACAGCGCCAACAAGTACAGCGCCAACAAGTACAGCGTCAACAAGTACAGCGCGAAGAAGTACAGTGCGAAGAAGTACAGTGCGAACAAGTACAGTGCGAACAAGTACAGCGCAAACAAGTACTGTGCGAACAAGTACAGCGCCAACAAGTACAGCGCCAACAAGTACAGCGCCAACAAGTACAGCGCAAACAAGTACAGCGCAAACAAGTACGGCGCAAACAAGTACAGTGCAAACAAGAACAGTGCGAACAAGTACAGCGCCAACAAGTACAGCGCCAACAAGTACAGCACGAACAAGTACAGCGCGAACAAGAACAGCGCAAACAAGAACAGCGCAAACAAGTACAGCGCAAACAAGTACAGCGCAAACAAGTACAGCGCAAACAAGTACAGCGCCAACAAGTACAGCGCCAACAAGTACAGCGCAAACAATTACAGTGCAAACAAGTACAGCGCAAACAAGAACAGCGCGCACAAGAACAGCGCAAACAAGAACAGCGCCAACAAGTACAGCGCAAACAAGTACAGCGCCAACAAGTACAGCGCCAACAAGTACAGCGCAAACAATTACAGTGCGAACAAGTACAGCGCAAACAAGTACAGCGCAAACAAGAACAGCGCGCACAAGAACAGCGCCAACAAGTACAGCGCCAAAAGTACAGTGCGAACAAGTACAGCGCAAACAAGTACAGCGCAAACAAGTACAGCGCGAACATTTGCAGTGCGAACAAGTACAGCGCGAACAAGTACAGTGCGAACAAGTACAGCGCAAACAAGTACAGTGCGACCAAGTACAGCGCAAACAAGTACAGAGCGAACATTTGGGACTGCTGTGAATAGTTTAGTCGCAAAGTGAAGAATCACCGGCAAAAGGGCCCAAAACTTCGAGATGGATTGATTTCAGCTTTGAGTAGCCCTGGGGGAAGTCTTTATTGAAGTGTGGAATTTTTTCTTGGTGCACTTCCCTATGTCCAGCTATACAAAAAGACCAGGGTGGCGATGGTCAGTTGTTGAGCTTCGAACAGGCGGAAAGGTGAGAAATTATCGCGTTTTGACCATTTGTGCACACTTGTCACTTTCAACGTACCTCTCTATAACATGACCCAGCTGTGATGTGAGTGGTCGCATAGAATTGATTTTTGGTTTGCTTATAGGCCGCTGCCACCCGCTGTTAGTGACGCCGAAAATTTGGCACTGCTGTGAATAGTTTAGTCGCAAAGTGAAGAATCACGGGCAAAAAGGCCCAAAACTCCGAGATAAAAAGATTTCAGCTTTGAGCAGCCCTGGGCGAAGTGTTTATTGAAATGTGGAATTTTTTCTTGGTGCACTTCCCTATGTCCAGCTATGCAAAAGGATCAGGGTGGCAATCGTCAGTTCTTGAGCTTCGAACAGGCAGAAAGGTGAGAAATTGTCGCTTTTTGACCATTTGTGCACACGTGTCACTTTCAACGTACCTCTGTATAACATGATCCAGCTGTGATGTGAGTGATCGCATTGATTTAATTTTTGGTTTACTTGTAGGCCACTGGCACCCGCTTGATTTCAGCTTTGAGTAATCCTGGGGGAAGTCTTTATTGAAGTTTGGAATTTTTTCTTGGTGCACTTCCCTATGTCCAGCTGTACAAAAAGATCAGGGTGGCGATGGTCAGTTCTTGAGCTTCGAACAGGCAGAAAGGTGAGAAATTGTCGCGTTTTGACCATTTGTGCACACGTGTCACTTTCAACTCTACCTCTGTACAACATGACCCAGCTGTGATGTGAGTGGTCACATTGATTTGATTTTTGGTTTGCTTGTAGGCCACTGGCACCCGCATTCAGCGACGCCAAAAATTTCTGCTGCTGTGAATAGTTTAGTCACAAAGTGAAGAATCACGGGCAAAAGGGCCCAAAACTTCGAGATGGATTGATTTCAGCTTTGTGCAGCCCTGGGGGAAGTGTTTATTTAAGTGTGGAATATTTTCTTGGTGCACTTCCCTATGTCCAGCTATGCAACAAGATCAGGGTGGCGATGGTCAGTTCTTGAGCTTCGAACGGGCAGAAAGGTGAGAAATTGTTGCTTTTTGACCATTTGTGCCCACGTGTCACTTCCAGCGTACCTCTCTATAACATTACCCAGCTGGGATGTAAGTGGTCGCATTGATTTCATTTTTGGTTTGCTTGTAGGCCGCTGGCACCCGCATTCAGTGACGCCGAAAATTTGGCACTGCTGTGAATAGTTTAGTCGCAAAGTGAAGAATCACGGGCAAAAAGGCCCAAAACTTCGAGACAGGTTGATATCAGCTTTGAGCAGCTCTGGGCGAAGTGTTTATTGAAATGGGGAAATTTTCTTGGTGCATTTCCCTATGTCCAGCTCTGCAACAAGATCCGGGTGGCGATGGTCAGTTCTTGAGCTTCGAACTGGCAGAAAGGTGAGAAATTGTCGCTTTTTGACCATTTGTGCCCACGTGTCAATTTCAACGTACCTCTGTATACCATGAACCAGCTGTGATGTGAGTGATCGCATTGATTTAATTTTTGGTTTACTTGTAGGCCGCTGGCACCCGCATTCAGCGACGCCAAAAATTTCTGCTGCTGTGAATAGTTTAGTCACAAAGTGAAGAATCACGGGCAAAAGGGCCCAAAACTTCGAGATGGATTGATTTCAGCTTTGTGCAGCCCTGGGGGAAGTGTTTATTTAAGTGTGGAATATTTTCTTGGTGCACTTCCCTATGTCTAGCTATACAAGAAGATCAGGGTGGCGATGGTCAGTTCTTGAGCTACGAAAAGGCAGAAAGGTGAGAAATTGTCGCGTTTTGACCATTTGTGCACACATGTCACTTTCAACGTACCTCTCTATAACATGACCCAGCTGTGATGTGAGTGGTCGGTTTGATTTTATTTTTGGTTTGCTTATAGGCCGCTGCCACCTGCTGTCAGTGACGCCGAAAATTTGGCCCTGCTGTGAATAGTTTAGTCGCAAAGTGAAGAATCACGGGCCAAAAAGGCCCAAAACTTCCAGATAGATAGATATCAGCTTTGAGCAGCCCTCGGTCAGTTCTTGAGCTTCGAACGGGCAGAAAGGTGAGAAAAGTGAAGAATCACCGGCAAAAGGGCCCAAAGTTTCGAGATGGATTGATTTCAGCTTTGAGTAGCCCTGGGGGAAGTCTTTATTGAAGTGTGGAATTTTTTCTTGGTGCACTTCCCTATGTCCAGCTATACAAAAAGATCAGGGTGGCGATGGTCAGTTGTTGAGCTTCGAACTGGCAGAAAGGTGAGAAATTGTCGCGTTTTGACCATTTGTGCACACGTGTCACTTTCAACGTACCTCTCTATAACATGACCCAGCTGTGATGTGAGTGGTCGCATTGATTTCATTTTTGGTTTGCTTATAGGCTGCTGCCACCCGCTGTTAGTGACGCCGAAAATTTGGCACTGCTGTGAATAGTTTAGTCGCAAAGTGAAGAATCACGGGCCAGAAGGGCCAAAACTTCGAGATAGAAAGATTTCAGCTTTGAGCAGCCCTGGGGAAAAGTTTATTGAAATGTGGAATTTTTTCTTGGTGCACTTCCCTATGTCCAGCTATGCAAAAGGATCAGGGTGGCAATCGTCAGTTCTTGAGCTTCGAACAGGCAGAAAGGTGAGAAATTGTCGCTTTTTGACCATTTGTGCCCAGTGTCACTTCCAACGTACCTCTCTATAACATGACCCAGGTGTGATGTGAGTGATCGCATTGATTTAATTTTTTTTTTACTTGTAGGCCGCTGGCACCCGCATTCAGTGACGCCGAAAATTTGGGACTGCTGTGAATAGTTTATTGGCAAAGTGAAGAATCACAGGCAAAAGGGCCCAAAACTTCGAGATTGATTGATTTCAGCTTTGAGCAGACGTAGGCGAGTTGTTTATTGAAATGTGGAATTTTTTCTTGGTGTACTTCCCTATGTCCAGCTAAACAACAAGATCAGGGTGGCGATAGTCAGTTCTTGAGCTTCGAACGGGCAGAAAGGGGAGAAATTGTCGCTTTTTGACCATTTGTGCCCAAGTGTCACTTTCAACGTACCTCTGTATAACATGACCCAGCTGTGATTTGAGTGGTCGCATTGATTTGATTTTTGGTGTGCTTGTAGGCCGCTGGCACCCACATTCAGTGACGCCGAAAATTTGAGACTGCTGTGAATAGTTTAGTCGCAAAGTGAAGAATCACAGGCAAAAAGGCCCAAAACTTCGAGATAGGTTGATATCAGCTTTGAGCAGCTCTGGGCGAAGTGTTTATTGAAATGGGGAATTTTTTCTTGTTCACTTCCCTATGTCCAGCTTTGCAACAATATCCGTATGGCGATGGTCAGTTCTTGAGCTTCGAACAAGCAGAAAGGTGAGAAATTGTCGCTTTTTGGCCATTTGTGCCCACGTGTCACTTTCAGCGTATCTCTGTATAACATGACCCAGCTGTGATGTGAGTGGTCGCATTGATTGAGATTGAGATTGATTGATTTCAGCTTTGAGCAGACGTAGGCGAGTTGTTTATTGAAATGTGGAATTTTTTCTTGGTGCACTTCCCTATGTCCAGCTATGCAACAAGATCAGGGTGGCGATGGTCGGTTCTTGAGCTTGGATCTGGGAGAAAGATGAGAAATTGTCGCATTTTGACCATTTGTGTCCACTTGTCACTTTCAACGTACCTCGTACCTCAACGTTGCCTGTAGGCCGCTGGCACCCGCATTCAGTGACGCCGAAAATTTGGGACTGCTGTGAATAGTTTAGTCGCAAAGTGAAGAATCACGGGCAAAAAGGCCCAAAACTTCGAGATAGGTTGATATCAGCTTTGAGCAGCTCTGGGCGAAGTGTTCATTGAAATGTGGAATTTTTTTCTTGGTGCACCTCCCTATGTCCAGCTATGCAACAAGATCCCGGTGGCTATGGTCAGTTCTTGAGCTTCGAACTGGCAGAAAGGTGAGAAATTGTCGCTTTTTGACCATTTGTGCCCATGTGGCACTTTCAACGTACCTCTGTATAACATTACCCAGCTGTGATGTGAGTGGTCGCATTGATTTCATTTTTGGTTTACTTGTAGGCCGCTGGCACCCGCATTCAGCGACGCCAAAAATTTGGGACTGCTGTGTATAGTTTAGTCGCAAAATGAAGAATCACGGGCAAAAGGGCCCAAAACTTCGAGATGGATTGATTTTCAGCTTTGAGCAGCCCTGGGCGAAGTGTTTATTGAAATGTGGAATTTTTTCTTGGTGGACTTCCCTATGTCCAGCTATGCAACAAGATCCAGGTGTCGATGGTCAGTACTTGAGCTTCGAACAGGCAGAAAGGGGAGAAATTGTCGTTTTCTATCATTTGCCGACATGTCCCTTCCAACGTACCTCTGTACATGACTCCGCTGTGATGTGAGTGGTCGCATTGTTTTCATTTATGGTTTACTTGTAGGCCGCTGGCACCCGCATTCAGTGACGCCGAAAATTTGAGACTGCTGTGAAGAGTTTAGTCACAAAGTGAAGAATCACGGGCAAAAAGGCCCAAAACTTCGAGATAGGTTGATTTCAGCCTTGAGCAGACCTGGGCGAGTTGTTTATTGAAATGTGGAATTTTTTCTTGGTGTACTTCCCTATGTCCAGCTATAGAACAAGATCAGGGTGGCAATAGTCAGTTCTTGAGCTTCGAACGGGCAGAAAGGTTAGAAATTGTCGCTTTTTGACCATGTGTGCACACGTGTCACTTTCAACGTGCCTCTGTATAACATGACCCAGCTGTGATGTGAGTGGTCGCATTGATTTGATTTTTGGTTTGCTTTTAGGCCGCTGGCAACCGCATTCAGTGACGCCGAAAATTTGGGACTGCTGTGAATAGTTTAGTCGCAAAGTGAAGAATCACGGGCAAAAAGGCCCAAAACTTCGAGAAAGATTGATTTCAGGTTTGAGCAGACCTGCTCAATTTGTATCTTGTGAATACCGTGCAATTATACTGTTCTCATTGTGTGTTTGGACAGAGGAACGTGTCTAACGAAAAAGACGGAAGTTGCATGCTGTCTTGACGACCTGAAAATTGTATGATTGTACTCGTATGAATGGTCCTATGCACGTAGAAACTCACCCAGGCCGCTATTCAGTGAACATTCCGCTTGTGTACATGCTGCATTTTCCGGGTTTGACAGCTGCATCCATGTTTAAGCTGCACCCCCGCCTCCCCTCCTTTCGGGCCCAGCATTTGTATCTTCGTTGATATTCAGTGTATAACAGGCATGTCCAACTTTGAATGTTTTGTCAACCTAACTAGGTATCGGTATATGCGCAACGTGTTGCCAGTGGTTAAAAGTTGAGAAGTACGACCAGAGTTGTAACAAAAGTTACCCAGTTATCCTGCACTCAGTACTGACAACATGTAGAAGCGTCTTGCTAGTACAATGATGTATTACACTACATGAAAAATAGTTGAATGACACATGAATAAAATAGTTGAATGACACATGAATAAAATAGTTGAATGACACATGCACATCATATGCATGCTGTGATGTAACACTGGTTGATTCACAAAATGGGACACGTACTGTCGGCTGAAGTGATTGGGACAAGCTCGGCGATAGCTTTTATATTGCTGGTCAGATTTCAAATGATCCCTTTTGCAAGGTGTATCACAGGTCTTCCCTGCTGACTTTTGATTGATCTTTATTCTTACAATGGCCGTAGCCAAAGATATTGTACAACATAATAATTATGTTGACAAGCATGTGATAGCGGGTGTTCACACGAAGGAACACGTTATCTTATCTTTTCACTCCAAATACAATTACACCTGAAAGAGCAGCCTAGCTAGCTACACAACGCGAACCAAGGAACTACTAAAACCGAAAACATTCCATGTCGGTACACAACCGAAGACAAAAGGCAAAGATGAAGTAATTTATGCCGCACTGTCAGCTGGCAAAACAGCAGAGGCGTAGCCACCGCACACGCGCTGTTGTACGGCACGAAAGCTAGCCATGATACTTTGCAATACAAATGTATGACCATGCACAGCAACAAGCAACAACACACAGCTAAGAAGTAGATGCATGTAATACATGAACGGCCAGTTGGAAATAGTTATGACGCCACTTTGTAGATCGCCCCCATGAATAGAAAACCACAAGAGAGACAGGGAAGACTACAGCCTACAGTGTAGCTCAGGCCTTGATACATGAATCACTATTGCAGTATTGGCACAAGACAGAGAAAGGACTGCTCCAGCTATCAATAATAAAAGGAACCATTACTTCTAGTCTTAGTGATGCCATGCCAGAGAAATATTACGTACTACCGTCTGAACATCCTCCCCCTCGCAATATGCACCCAGATGTTGCATGATGCCTATCCTTACAACTACCAGTACCAAGCTAAGAGAAAAGTGAATCGAAAGGGCAAGTCCAGTGGTAGGAAGCTACAAAAAAAACAAAAACAATGCATGAATCATTAATGGGGGTCGTCACTGAGCAGTACCTCCATTCTGGCATGTAGGGAGAGCCGTCTAACATTCCAGTGGGCAGACTCGAGTGATGGATCTCTTCAGAGTCTTCCCGCCCACTTGCATGGCCACCACACGCACATGTCCGTCCGGACCAGGGAAAACTTCCGTGACTCTGCCGAGCGGCCAACGCCCACGCGGGGAGCTTGAATCCATCACCAGGACAACGTCGTCAACGGCCAGATCGCGTCGCTGGTGTCGCCACTTTATCCGCTGATTCAACCGTGGGACAAACTCTTTCAGCCAGCGATGCCAGAAATGGTCGATGAGCATTTGAACATATCTCCAACGTCTCTGCAGTTGACACCCCTTCTCGTCCGTTGTTGCAATAACCAGCTGGCCCTCGGCCATGCCATGAAGGAAATGGTTCGGAGTTAGCGGCCCTGGATCCTTCGGACTAGCCGATTGGTAGGTGATGGGCCTGGAGTTGACGAGGGACTCTGCTCCGCTGAGAGCGGTGACCAACTCCTCGTCCGTCACAGATGCGTCTCCAAGGATGGCATGTAGAGCTCGTTTGGCGGCTCGAATCATTGCCTCGTGAACTCCCCCGAAATGAGGAGCTAATGGCGGGTTGAAACTCCATTTCACGCGTCTGCAGGCCATGGCTTTCCAGACGGTGGTATTGTTCAGTTGGCCAACAAGCTCACGTAGCTGGCGGTCGGCATTCACGAAGTTGCCTCCATTGTCCGACAGAACCTCCATTGGACAACCTCGTCGGTTGGCCATCCGGTTAAAGGCGTTCAGGAAAGAATTTGCATCCAATGCGTACGCCATCTCCAAATGGACCGCACGAGTCAGCAAACACGTGAAGAGGCACAGATAGCGTTTGTGGCGAGTCTTTCCTCTCCCCTGCACAGTTTCGAACGGCCCTCCGTAGTCAACGGCTACCCTGCTGAAGGCTCTCAGTGGCTCACACAATCGCTTTGCTGGCAATGGGGCCATGATTTGCTCTCCCGCACGGGCTTTTAGTCGTCGACACACCATGCAGTCTTTCTCCCAGTCACGGATCTCCTCCCGTGCTGCTTCGACAAGATAGTGATCAGAGAGAGCTGCCAACGTTTCATTCGTCCCGCCATGATGACGTTGCTCATGGCAATCTTTGACAATAAGCCGGGTGGTCGGATGTTTCCGGGGGAGAAGAATCGGGAAGGGCACATCAAACGGCAACCAGTCAGCCAGCTTGGTGCGACCATCGCAGCGCAATAGTCCGTCGTCGTCCAGTCGAGGCGATAACCTCGCCAAACGTGACTTCAGCGGAAGTGGTTGACCATTCTTCACTAGCTTCAGATCCTCCGCGAATGCCTCGTGCTGTGCCTCTTTGATGATGGAAAGGCTGGCAGCGTCCATCTCCTCGCCGGTTAGCTCTCCGCTCAACTCCTCACCTCCACGGCAGTTGGTGATGAAGCGAATTGCCCAAGCCCGTACTCTGACTACGCGCGTCCAGTCTGAGAAGCGCCGAGAGCACAAGCTGGGTACTTTCTCGGACATAAATGACATCACCTCGGGCTGTGCAGCCTTGCGAGCTTCCGCTCGAGCAGCTGGGTCTTGGCCACCCACGATCTTGGCTGGCCATTCAGATTCTTCTTTCTGCAGGAAGGCCGGTCCTTGCCACCACAGCTCAGTTGCAACCAGTTGCTCTACCCCAGCTCCCCGTGACGCCAAGTCAGCTGGGTTGTCGCTGGAGGGAACGTACCGCCATTGACTGGGCGACGTAACAGTCTGGATGTGGCTGATGCGATTCGCCACAAACGGTTTGAAACGTCGGCTGTAGCTGCGAATCCAGAGCAGCACAGTTGCACTGTCGCTCCAGAAAATCACCTCTGACATGGCAATGGTCATGATCTGACTGAACTTCCGGGCCAGCTGAAGGCCAAGCACAGCCGCCAGCAATTCCAGCCGGGGGATACTTTGTGTTCTTGTCGGCGCCACTCTGCTCTTGGCTCCAGCGAGACGAACGTGTCCCTCAGAGCCACGCTGCACGGTGGAGCTGTAGACCACGGCACCATACGCCACACTCGATGCATCACAGAAAACATGCAGCGTCACGCCACTGGCCACGTCCGGGATGAGACATCTTGGTACTCGAACTAAACTGAGCTTCGCCAGGTCATTGAACCACTGGCGAGCGCTGGTGTCGATGCCATCTGGAACCGGTTCATCCCAGTCAATACCAGCTACCCAACTCTCTTGCATGAGGATCTTGGCTTGGGTCACGAACGGTGCCAGAAACCCCAACGGGTCGAATACGGACGCGACTTTTGCTAGGAGGAATCGCTTGGTGATGCGTTGGTTGGTGAGGTCTGGCGGTTGAACGTTGAAGAAGAAGCAGTCTGCCTGACCGTCCCATGACACTCCTAGCGTCTTCACGGATGGTAGCTCTCCTTGGGATAAGTCCAGCTGGGTAGCGCGAGCTTCGGCTGGAATTACCTTCAGGAGCTCGGGCGAGTTGGACACCCACTTGCGCGGCGTCATCTTGGCCTCACCCCACAGATCCATTAGCTCCCGATGAAGAATCTGACCTTGTTCGACATCTTTGGTGCTGTCCATCGTGTCATCCATGTAGGTGGACGCGAGGATAGCTTCTGCTGCCAGGGGATGCGACGCCAAATGTTCCCGGGCTGTCTGCTGAGCAACGTACTGGGCGATGAATGGTGCAGCATTGACGCCAAAGACCAGGCGGTTGAACTCAAAGTGCCGTAAAGGCTTGGCTGGATCCAGGTCCCGCCACACGAATCTGAGGTACTTCCTGTCTGCTGGCGCAACCGACACCTGCAAATACATTTCGGTCACGTCTCAGCCCACTGCTATAGGCTTTTGCCGAAACCTGGTCAACACATCGAACAACTCACGTTGGAGCTTCGGACCAGGGTAGATGGCGTCGTTGAGGCTGAGGCCATGACAGGATGCTGCAGCGTCAAAGACGATCCGCACCTTGGTTGTCGTCTTCTGCGGTCGGACGATGGGAAAGTGGGATAAGTACCAGCATACCTCTTGACCTAGCTCTTCCTTCGCGAGCTCCCGGATATAGCCGTTCCTCTGGTAGGCCTGGAAGACTTGGCCATAAGCCTGGGCAACGAATGGGTCTTTCAGGAGCTTGCGCTCGGTGTGGCCTAGACGTTTCGTAGCCGCACCCAAGTTGTTGCATAATTCTCTCTTGCGATTGTTCCACGGCAGAGACACCTGGTACCGACCGTCCACCTTCTTCAGCGAGTGTTTGACGATGTCTAGGGCTGTCTCTTCCTCCAGCGAGCGCGGGCCGGGCTCACTGAAGCTCTCCTCCGTGCCGCAGCTGTCAATTTGCCAGAACTGCTGTAGCGCGGTCTCTAAGCCGGTTGGTGTTGCTCTCTCCTCACTCTGAAACGCTTGGCTGTGGAACGTCCTTTGACTCGAGTGGGTTCCCGTCACTCTGCCAACACAGGTCCAACCCAGTGGAGTATGACGCGCCACTGGTTGACCAGGCGGGCCGACCACTTCCTGCTGTGACACAAGCAGCTCAGCATAGTCGCTCCCAATCAGCAGATCGACCCTGGCGGGCTCCGCCAGTCTTGCGAACGGAATCTCTCTCAGATGAGGATACTTGACTGCTTCCTTGACCCACTCTACCGGACGAAGATTCCCGGTGACCGAATCAGCCGTCAGCGCCGTCATAGATTGCCGAACACTGCCATCCATGCTGCCAATGGTGAAGCTTACTGGTCTGGTTGTGAATGAGGTCTGCTTGCCATTCAAGGTGTGGACTGTGAATGTCCTCAGCTCCCCGCTGACGCCGAGCTGGTTGGCAATGCTGCCGTTGAGGTAGCTCGTCGTGCTACCGTCGTCCAGCAACGCATTCACTTGCACTGACTTGTTGCCGTTCTCCAAGACGACTGAGACCGTTCGCAGAGCTATCTTGCTCGGGCCTTGGACCATCATGGTGGAATCACTCTTCGTGGACTCCGTCTCCCCCTCGGTGAACGACTGTGGGGTGCGCTGCTCTTGGTCTTTACCGGCGTATGGCGGCGTTACTAAACAGTCGATGGCGGGAGGCAATAACTGGTCCCCTGTCTCCTGACCTGAACCATTGTCTCCATAGTTGCAGAATTGTTCGGCAGGACTGAGTTGGGACTTGTCCGCCGTCATTCCTCCAGCTACCGTGTTCCCCGATTTTTTCTTGTTTGACTGTGCGGCATCGGGGTTCCTGCTGTCCTCGTGTAGCAAGTCCCGGTGTAGCAAGTAGTGGTGATTGTTGTTGCAGCCGCTCACTGAGCAGGGTCTGGTTCGTGGACAGTGGTGACCTTGGTGATCGCCTCCAAGGCAGCGGTAGCACAGACCATGCTGTTTAGCCTGTCTCCAGCGATTGGCGACGGAAAGCTGCTGAAATGCTTTACACTGCCAGACACCGTGAGGTCCGCCACATTGCCGACATGAAGATCGTCCAGCCGCTGAGCCCGCAGGCCTTGACCACCCTGCATTCTGCGAAGCCTTTCCCCCGAAGTAGGATCGTTGAGGAGCATTCCGGGGTGCCGGAGGCTTGTCCTTCGCACCAACTCCATCTAGTGCTTCGGACGCTCCAACGGCAAACTCCGCTTCCAACGTCACCCACTCCAGTAGTGCTTGAATTCCTGGCTGGCAGGGCTTCTGATGACACCATCGATTGAATTGGGTTAACATCCCAGCCGGCAACTTGGCCAGGAGCTTCCGGTACAACAGCCCATCACCCAGCTCATTGCCTTTTCCGGAGTCGAGGAGGTTGACCACGAGTACGTCGAGGAGATCTGCGAACTTCTGGAGATCTCCTGCTCGGCCGGAACGAATGATTGGGCAGGCCTCGACTTGCTCGTACTGCAGCGACAGCTGTCGTTGGTCGCCTCCAAACTTGCGGTCTAACCGCCTCATTGCGGCCTCGTACGCAGACGGGGTGTATCCCAAGCTCTCGATGGAAGCCAAGGCATCTCCACTCAAATACTGCCGGAGGTGCAGCAGTTTCAAGTCTGCCCTTGCAGACGAGCTACCAACACACGCCATGAAAGCAGCCTTCCATGAGGCATACGCCTGCTTATCGCCGCCGAAGACTGGGATCTGTATAGCCTTCAGTTGCTTGAAAATTTCATCTGGTGGCTGCTTGACAGGTGGAGGCTGAGACACAGCACGCTGGTGGCTGGCGGACACACCTGCTCCTGGCAATGCTGAAAAGGCACCAATGCCCATGGCCTGATGACTTGAGGCTACCTGTGGTGGCCCACTGGCCTGGGTGTACAGATAGTTGGCGGACTGATATGGCAGAGATGATGTAGGGTGTAGTCCTGACACAGGAGCCTGAGTACTACTGCCCTGCTGGCCTGGACTCTTCGCGACTTGAAGTTGAGGGGCCTTGGTCTCACTCACTCTAGTATATGCACTGGACACACATACAGCACTCCGTGTTGGCACAGCAGGCTGTAGTACAGGCAAGGCAGGGCTTCTTTCACGCTCTGACCTCCTACTCCCAGCTTCCATTGGTGGCCTTGTTCTAGCCCCAAGCTCTGCCTCTCTGTTACTACTGCCGGAGACACTTGTGGTCACAACCACTTCATCACTGTCTTCTACTCTTGCCTGGTTCTCCTGAACCAGCGCCACGCCATCACCAGGCTCATCCCGATCCTGGGAGCCTTCACTTCTGCCCAGCGATATCACACTCAGTGGACTTCCTGGCTCTTCCACTGGTGCCTGGGCATACTGATGATACGCTGGCCTGTCTGGGTGGCTGTTCCGTGCAGCCGTCCACGCTGGCTGGTGTTCTAGGAACTCCTGATACAGCCTTGTGACCTCCTTCATCTCTTTCTCCGCTTCCTCCATCTCATCGGTCACTTTAGCCACTGCGAGCGCATCGTTCATGCCGCCAGCCCACTCGAGTACGTCCATGAACACACCGTTCAGGGCATCCTCGATCATTTCTAATTCGCCAAACAACGACCTCGCAGCTTCCTCTTCAACTCCGTCACGCAAGGCCACGATCACGGCTCTGCGACACCTGGTGAACTTTCTCTTGCGATTCGCTTTTTCAGCTTTCATTTTCACGAACATCAGTTCATTCGATCGCTGGTCACTTTGACCATGTTCGTCCTCTTCGACTTCCTCGTCCTCCTCGATCACGTCGCCTGCCCTCTCTGCCATGGCACCTAAAAAGAGCTCAGTTCTCTGACTGCTAGCCCTGATTGTGCTCTCACTCTCAGGCTCCGGCGACGACATGATCTAAATAATTTAAATTTCCGAAACTGAACTGCTCACTCAGGCGATAACCATCCTCTGCTACCAGAATGTTCACACGAAGGAACACGTTATCTTATCTTTTCACTCCAAATACAATTACACCTGAAAGAGCAGCCTAGCTAGCTACACAACGCGAACCAAGGAACTACTAAAACCGAAAACATTCCATGTCGGTACACAACCGAAGACAAAAGGCAAAGATGAAGTAATTTATGCCGCACTGTCAGCTGGCAAAACAGCAGAGGCGTAGCCACCGCACACGCGCTGTTGTACGGCACGAAAGCTAGCCATGATACTTTGCAATACAAATGTATGACCATGCACAGCAACAAGCAACAACACACAGCTAAGAAGTAGATGCATGTAATACATGAACGGCCAGTTGGAAATAGTTATGACGCCACTTTGTAGATCGCCCCCATGAATAGAAAACCACAAGAGAGACAGGGAAGACTACAGCCTACAGTGTAGCTCAGGCCTTGATACATGAATCACTATTGCAGTATTGGCACAAGACAGAGAAAGGACTGCTCCAGCTATCAATAATAAAAGGAACCATTACTTCTAGTCTTAGTGATGCCATGCCAGAGAAATATTACGTACTACCGTCTGAACAGCGGGTAGGATGTGTAGACTACGATGATCATTAGGTAATACTAGTACGGTAGAGACGCGCGATGAAGAACGTCGAGCCAAAGAACGTCCGGCATGAAATGCTAAGAACGCCACAGCCTAAAGTTAAGAACGGCAGTGTTGGTTTTCCGGCAGCGTTTGGGATAGATATGATCCACAACGAATTGTTTCCAAGAACGTGCTATAAGAATGCAGCAAGATTGCCGAACAAATATAATAAGAACGCCCCAGGCCAATCGCTTGGAAACAACGTTCTTGGACGTGCAACTCTACTGTAATACGGATATATGTGTAGTTCATTGCCATGTTTGGTGTGTGTGTGTATGTGTGTGTGTGTATGTGTGTGTGTGCCTGTGTAAATGCGTGCACTTGTGCATGCGTGGCACGGGTGTATTTTTCTTGTTCGTTACTCTCGTTTTTCTCAGGAGGAGGCCAGCTGAGACACTATAGTTGTGATGATGAAAGTTGGGCAATGATGAATACAAGCAAAAGGCTGTTCAAAGAATTTCCAACTACAACCCTGCAGACCGGGAGCCAAATGAACAGGACCTCGACCAGCTTCAATAACATCTGAACATGTTTCTATAAGGAAGAGTTGACAAGGTACCTGAACATTACAATGACTCTTGCCATCTTGAAAGAACACTCCGCACGCGCACACACGCGAACGGTTTTTTTTGCTTGTTGGCCCGCACACTGCTTGGCGTTTAGAATATACATATGCCTTGTTACTGTGCAGATACATTGTGTCTGGTATAGCGAAATATGACCAGCACTTGATTGTATTGGGATGAGTGGCCTTTTGGATTATAATGGAACTTGGACTTCACTCCTATGAATCAGATACTGCCAGGCTGCCAAGGATGTGCACACACAACTGCTTTGTTCACGGGACAAAATCCGGTGGCCCGCACTCCACTGGATTATATACTGCATTGCATAGCTGGTGCCAATGTAGTGTCCTTTATGTATGGAGATTTGTGATGACCTTGGTGTACGCCATTTACTGTTGCTAACATGCAAAATTCCTACTCCATCTAGACAAAGCCTTGTAAATTTGAGTTTCCAAATTTTCGATACCTCGGCCAAGATTGCCATGTCCAGCATGGCGAGACAGATAAGTGGAGCTAAATTTTGTCAAAATTTACTCCTTTTGTTAATGGAGAGAGAGGAAGAAGGAGATGGATTGATTGAAAAATATAATAATATTATATATTATATAGAGGGAGAGAGAGAGAGGGGGGGGGGGGAGAGATCAATCAGCAAGCCTGAGAAGAGGCTTCTAAGATTTTCTGCTCCGGTAGAATTTTCCTGCTTGTTTCCGCTCCTCATGCAGAAACAATAAGCGTTCAGCAGGCAAAGAAGAAAACACTTGTTGAACTCTGATTGGCCGAGGGCGATTGGCCAGTCATTTCAGGTGTGAAGTGCTGAGCCAGGATAGGCTATAAAAGTAATCATTCCAGGAGGGGATGGTGGTCGGGGTTTGGGATGGCAGATTTTTTACACTTTCTTCTCCAGGCTTGTTTCTCCTCCCTCATGCAGAAACAACAAGAGTTCAGCCATCAGCAGGCCAAGAAGAAAACACTTGCTGAACTCTGATTGGCCGAGGGCGGTTTACCAGTCATTTCATGTGTGAAGTGCTGAGCCAGGATAGGCTATAAAAGTAATCATTCCAGGAGGGGATGGTGGTCGGGGGTTTGGGATGGCAGCTTTTATAGATTTTCTTCTCAGCTTAAACTTCTGCATGAGGAAGGAGAAACACTGTTGTTTCTGCATTAGGGTAGAATGGGGATGGTGGTCGGGGTTAGATTTTCTTGTGGTCGGGGTTTGGGATGGCAGATTTTTTACACTTTCTTCTCCAGGCTTGTTTCTCCTCCCTCATGCAGAAACAACAAGAGTTCAGCCATCAGCAGGCCAAGAAGAAAACACTTGCTGAACTCTGATTGGCCGAGGGCGGTTTACCAGTCATTTCAGGTGTGAAGTGCTGAGCCAGGATAGGCTATAAAAGTAATCATTCCAGGAGGGGATGGTGGTCGGGGTTTGGGATGGCAGATTTTATAGATTTTCTTCTCAGCTTAAACTTCTGCATGAGGAAGGAGAAACACTGTTGTTTCTGTTTCTGCATTAGGGTAGAATGGGGATGGTGGTCGGGGTTAGATTTTCTTCTCCAGGCTTGTTTCTCCTCCTTCATGCAGAAACAGAAAGTTCAGCCATCAGCAGGCCAAGAAGAAAACACTTGCTGAACTCTGATTTTCTTCTCTAGGCTTGTTTCTTCTCCTTCATGCAGAAAAAAAAACATAACATGAGTTCAGCCATCAGAAGTCCAAGAAGATAACACTTGCTGAACTCTGATTGGTTGAGGGTGGTTGACCAGTCATTTCAGAATTTTTAGAATTCTCTCTGCCGGCTTAGAGAATTCTAAAATTCAGTCAATCAGAGCAGGGACGGTATACCCTAGTACCCAAACACAATCCTATTTCAAACAGCACTCGAGCTAGACAATGAGCGCCGTTACATCAAAATATCTCCTTTCTGCCATCGCTCACACATACACACACACACACTATTGGCTCATTGGACGCCCATTGCGGGAGGCGATGATAACGATGCTACAACAACCATAGCCACTTATGCTAGGAGTGCACCATTCAACAGCTTGCAAGGCTGCAGAATTGACTGCCACTATTCAGGAGGGTCTACACCACACAGCTATGAAGTGGCTTTTTCTGGCCAGTGAATCCCTACTTTTTGTTTTTTTATAATTTTTTTCATGCACACACATCACATCACATACTCTGCATGCACTGGCTGTTGGTAACCACCGAGGAGAATGAAAGAAAAGTCGGGAGGAGTCTGAGAAAGAGAAGAAAGACTTGCACACGCACACACACAATAGAATTGTACCGCACAATTAATCGAATATGACGGTAGCATGGGGTGTACGTTCCAAGCGGCAGGGAGGCCCAGAGGCCCCGCACAATACACTGCCGCAGAAGCATGGTACACTGTACCTTACAAGCTACAATGTCACATCCAATCACCCAGCTCTCCCGGCATTAAAATCACCCAGCTCTCCCGGCATTAGAATATAACAAGCTGTAAACTGCTTAGTGGTTGACGATAGGGGAAGCATTCATGCTGCGCTCCTTGTAAGCCCATGGGGTACAAGCAGCCATGCTAGCAACCGTGAGTTTCATGCGGGGAGCATCTCCTCAGTACACACAAACACACACACACACACACACACACACACCATTGGACCATTGGACGCCCATCGCCGGAGGCGATGATAGCGATGCTACAGCAGAAGCCATATCAGCTTGTGCTGGGATTGCACCATTCAACAGCTTGCAAGGCTGAAGAATTGACCGCTACACCACACAGCTACACACACACAGACACAGACACACACACACACACACACACACACACACACACACACACACACACACATGCGCACAAGCCCACTGCTATGACATAACGACGACCATGATCCACGCACAACAAGCAAGAAAGCAGCAGCAAGCAGCAACAAGCGGCAACAAGCAGCACACTCGGAAAATTATTTTTTTCAGACACATGCAAAATTGAACGTTGACCGTTGATGTCCTCTGCATCACTGTAGATGTTTGCAGCAGTAATAGCGTGCGTTACAGTGGCCCACAGTTCTGTCCGATGCACGTCTGAAGGCAAAGAAAAATATCACACAAATACAGTGGAACATAGATTATCCCCACATCACCTATCCGCAAGATCAAGTATCGGAATGGCAGCCGGAAGGCCGATTACCCGGAATGGCAGGTCATCCAAAATTTCCAAAAAATATAAACAATAAAAAGATGACAACGCAGTACTTGATTTCACCAATGCACTCGTGTAGTCTGTAGATATACCAGGTAAGTGTGTGCTGCTAGCATGCCCGTCGTCAATGCATGGTAGTACGTATTTTCGATGATGAATCTGTATCACACGCATGTACATGGTCATTCTATGAGCCCTATGCTACAAGCTTATTTGTACATGGTCATTCTATGAGCCCTATGCTACAAGCTTATTTGTACATGGTCATTCTATGAGCCCTATGCTGCAAACTTATTTGTACATGGTCATTCTATGAGCCCTATGCTACAAGCTTATTTGTACATGGTCATTCTATGAGCCCTATGCTACAAGCTTATTTGTACATGGTCATTCTATGAGCCCTATGCTACAAACTTATTTGTACATGGTCATTCTATGAGCCCTATGCTACAAGCTTATTTGTACATGCTCAGGTAGAATAAGGACACTTTTCTGGTGCCGCTGTACTTCAAGATCAGCGCTGCAACTCGCCATGGTGATAATGTGGCTGACGTCATGTTACCAAGGAAAACATGGCGTTTGGCCGTGTTCGCCGCACTCGAGCGCTCACCTTTTTTCACAATCTTGTTTTGAAAAATACTTCAAGTCTTTTGCAGCACTTTTGGAGGCCAGTCACATCGCGATCTGTACGAGTATCTTTATCGTGGCCATTGTCTTGTGTCGTTTTGAGCTCGAATAGCTTTCTCTGATGAAGGATTCAAAATATATCATGACGTTCTCTTTTATCGTGGGCATGAAGCTCCCCACTCGCAGCGGGGATGACATCGGACGGAATAAATGTGTCGAGTCCCGAGCAGGAGTTCTGCTGACACAAGTGATTAGCTCCTCGCGACCTGGGGCATGTGAGGACTACAGTTCTAGTTGGGCAATACCCCACGGACACATCTAGCTGGAAGCGCAGAGTCGATTGAGAAAAATGACCAAGATCATAAAGAAGGCTTGTTTGCTTCCACAAAATGTTTTAGTAGCCGAGTCCACGCACTGAAAACTGCACTTGCATTGTTCCTGTCCAGTCGACTAGTCATACAGTACATCAGTGCAGTACAGAGTGCACTTGCAAGTCACTACGACACGAGCACAGTCGCGTGTACAGACTCTGTTCACAGTTGTGACCAGCGATCGCGCGTGGGAGTCAAGTACCCTACTCAAGTGCGCATGCTCGGCTCGCTGCATGCACTGTCTGTAGATCTACAGCAGATTGCTGGTGTGATGCACTACATGTACAGCACAGTCATTCATGTGTAAGAGACAATGTCGGCTATTTTGAAACGGCAATGACAGCTTCATCCATAAACGCGGAGCGTTGGGAATGTCTTTGGCGAATGAGAGCTGTTGCATTGGCTAGCTGTACATCCCAGCAAGCGGGAATGTGCTGGATATCGATACTAAACACCCGTTCATCGCGGTGGTGAGTCTGAACAGACTCCGAGGTACGACAGCTTCGTATACTAAATGTGTACAGTGCGTATGGTGAAACAAGTCGATACTGGTTTCCAGCGAAATGTTGTTATCTATGTACAATATCCACCAATATCCTTTATCTAGGGCCCAAAGGCTATCCAGTTCACCAGGATTTGTGGCCTTACTATTTTTCGTTTTCTCCGCGTTTTGGGTTGAAATCTGAACATAAAAAGTAGCACTGATGACGTCATTCAGCTCGTAATTTAAATTTGATATTGGAAATCGATGACAACTAACCCAATGTATCACCACAGAAAATTTGGTTGAAAAATATTAATGTATGCCAAAGTTATTACCAATACAAGTTTTGTACACACATGATCACCTTATTATACCTGAGTGGTCATTCTATGAGCCCTATGCTACAAGCCTATTTGTACATGGTCATTCTATGAGCCCTATGCTACAAACTTATTTGTACATGGTCATTCTATGAGCCCTATGCTACAAGCTTATTTGTACATGGTCATTCTATGAGCCCTATGCTACAAACTTATTTGTACATGGTCATTCTATGAGCCCTATGCTACAAACTTATTTGTACATGGTCATTCTATGAGCCC